ACGGCTAAAGCATTTTTACGGGCTCTGCCCGGGGCCGACCGCCACCACAGCCCAGACCGCCGCCAGCCGCACGCAGACGGCCACAGGCCCCTTAAACCCCGTGTTTTGGGGGTTGGAGGCAGTTAGCCGGAGTGTGTTTCTGGTTTGCTTTGCGGCGCGGCCTGTTTGGATTCGGTGTCCGGCTCGTTTAGACGCTGGCAGGCGAAAACGAGGAGCCCTCCGCTAAGCGCTCAGACAGGAGGGTTAATGGAGCTCCCCGTCTGAGGACTTGATTAAAAATCACTGGACCTCCCAATCCCGAATCATTCTGCCTCCCTCGGGTCTCTTTCCTCCTTACAACATGTTGTCCTGACAGCTGTCTTCTTGGCGGACGCCATGCAGCACCAGGCTGTGCGAATAAAATCAGAAATACTTTCCTTAACCCGATTCTTTAGTTGGAAACCTGAGAACAAACCAGAGTAGATCAAAAGTATAAAAATGACATTTATTAGGTCACAGTTAAGTATATCAGCTGGGCTCTAACAGACAAAAAAAGGTGGACACAACCAAGTCCTATTGGCCAGTTACCTCTGGGCATGAACAGGCCAGGTCCTAATTCATGCAGATGACGTTGGAATGTGGTAACAAATTGTTTGTGTTTGTGTTGACCTAAAGACATGTGTCTAATGCAACGGAAAAAGAAAAAGAAAATATAGTTATAAAAGAAAATAAAACAATCATTAATTTACATAGATCATGTGATAGCATACAATGCTAAAGTGAGTAATTATCGCCAAATTCTAACACTTTGATAATCCCAGAGGGAAATGATCTTTGTTACTAACTCCAGAAATACAACAGCATATACATATATACATGTCTATATATATACAAAATTCCACACAAAATATAAGTAAATATATACATATATGTAACTATATGTATATATATATATAGATCTAAAATAAGTGTTAATGACAATGCCAATAAATTAGTAAGATTTATGCCCTGTTAGCACCCCTCTGCAGAATGTAATTAACACTCCCAGCTCAAAAAAGAAAGGGGGCTTTTATTTATAGCCCCTGGCGTGTTTTCTCTTTTGGCCACTGTGCTCTGGAGCACTCGACGCGTTCGCCCCATGTGTTTTTTGCTGATTACCACGTTGCTCGGAGCTCTTGTGATTGAGCCTGTTGTGCTTGACACAGCGAGCATATCAGCAAAGCTCAGAACAAGCACAAGTCTCTCTCGTTCAGATCCGGGAACGGGTCTTTGTTTCTTTGAGGCCGTCTTAAAAAAAACAGGCCCGCGGCCGTTCGGAAGCTCTGAATGTTTCACTACGACCCTATTCAGAGGAATAGTGTCTAAACCAGACCTAGAAAGACTAATCCATGCGTTTGTTTGTTTGTAGCAGATTGGTCTATTGGACTGTAATGGCTGCTCACTGGACTCTCTAGACCAGCTGTAAGACAGCTGCAGAACATCCAGAATGCTGCCGCTAGAGTTCTGACCAGAACCAGGAAATAGGACCATAGATGTTCAGTAACGAAGTAGAACTACTTAAGTACCAAAATACAGTATCTGTACTTTATTAGAGTAGATATTTTTCTCACTACTTTTACTTTTACTCCACTACATATTGTTGATTAAGTTAATACTTTTACTTTCACGGGCTGAATCGTTACTCGTTACTGATATGTAAACGTAATGATAGATAGCTCTGTCAGGGTTTGTGAAGCTGGCTCCTCATTGGCCGATAGCCTATTTAAAAAAAAAGCCTCCCGAAATATTTAGAAATCATGGCCTTTAAAAATTCCCCATCTAATCTGAAGAAGCATATCAAAATAAGTTTAAAAAATACAATGACATATAAGCTAGTAACTAAGCCCTAGTTCAGTTCTCCCTGTTCACTCAGGACGTAGCAGCTAACATTAGCTAAAGCTAACCTAGCTGGCTAGCTGTATGATAACGTTAGCTAAAGCTAACCTAGCTGGCTAGCTGTATCTGAATAGGACCACATCAGTCCAGTGCTCAGGTCTCTCCACTGGCTTCCTGTCCCTCAGAGAATAGACTTTAAAAAGAGCTCTATTTGTGTACAAGTCTTTTCATGGGCAAGAACCAAAATACCTTTTTGACATGTTAGAGCCAGATGAACCAGCTTGGACTTTGAGAACCTCAGGTTCTGGTCTCCTGATGGGGCCCAGAGTCAGAACTAAACCAGGTGAAGCTTCATTTCAGTTTCATGCTCCTAAAACCTGGATCAGACTTCCTGAAGATGTGAGACAGAATCCAACTCTAAATGTTTAAATCCAGGTTGAAAACACTTCTGTTTAACTGTGCGTATGGAAATTGAACGTGTTTTATCTGCACCCTTCACTTTTCATCTATCTAATTTTGATTATTTTTCTTTTCTGGTTTTTCTGCTTTTAAATTCTCTGTGAAGCACTTTGAATTGTCTAGTACACAAAATGTGCTGTAAAATAAACTTTTATTCTATTTCTTGTGCTGCAGAAAGATTTAAAAAAACGCGACTCGTGGGCAAAAGAAACCTGGATGAAAACGAAAAAAAAGGTTTTTGAAAGCATGCAGGTGAAGCCTGAAAGCTTCTTTTCTCTGAAAAACGAGAGGGTTTCGTCCTTTAGTTAACCCCCTTGTTGTGGGAGCGTTTCATCCCGTCTCAGGGCGCAGATTATCCCAGATTTAGACGCACTTAAACGATTGCTCGACGCTTTGAAGCAGGTGCTGACTCCGGGGTCTACCTGTGTTTAACTTTCTCCTGCCCTCAGCTTTTTTTTTTTGGGCTTTTTTTTACGCGTTTGCCCTAATGACAGGCTGCGTTTTAAAGAGAGGATGTGTAAAAACGCAAGACGCGACAGGTCAGAAACGCACGCTCAGCTCTAGACAGTCTGGAGTTTTTTTTTTTTTGCCGAGTCAGCAGAAC